CCCCCCCCGGCCCCACCCGCCTCTCAGGCAGTTGTAGGCAGCGATGAGGGCTCCCCTCAGCCTCCTCTGCTCCAGGCTGAACCCCCCCAGCTCCCCCAGCCGCTCCCCAGCAGCCTGGGGCTCCAGACCCCTCCCCAGCTTTGGGGCTCTCCTCTGGACACGCTCCAGCAACGTGAAGGTCGTCACAGAAACCGTTCACATGATTTTACAGAAGCGTTGACCAGGATACCCACTAAATGACAGTATGTGGAAGAGTTTCATATTTTTTACGTGCTTCCTTAGCTCCAAAGTGCAAAATAAACGCTCCTCCTGCCTCCCTCAGCCAGATAGAACTCGTCTGCCAAAAAACCTGAGGATAAAGATAGGAATTCTCTGTGTGGTTTTAGACTATCTGACTTGAATGACGCCAGTTGCTGAATACTACGAAATGGTTAAACCCAACCCCTGCTAGCAAAGCCAGCTGTATTATCCCGAGTCCAGGAGACTCGCATTTTGAACTAAGCTTAGAAGGAAGGCAGGAGCCGCAGGACAGAGCAAATCTTGGCAAGAAGAAACAGTGCTTCATTCTGCAGTTGCTAGAAGACGACTGTTGCTGGGAACACCTCAACTGTGCCTTCCCCAGCCAAAAACTGAAGACCAGTTCTTATCTGCAAAACAGATAACAGCTCTATCGGAGGGGGAGCGGAGCGCTTAAACGAGGGGGCTGAATCACAGGGGCCCTCTGCCGAACCCACCGCGTTTGCCAGATGGCAGTCGCCTTCCTTCAGGAGCAAAGGCAGAAAAACAACCAACTGCACATACAAAACCCCCAGCATCCTCCCAGCTTGAGTAGCTCGAACCCTCCTCTCAAAAATTATTTCTCAAAGGTAACGGCATAAAGAAATGACAATAAAATATTATATATGACCTCTCGGTCAGCAGGCCCGTGCACATTCAAGCTTTCCCATCAGTGGATCCTAGATGTATTCACATGGATGAACATCACCGCAGGCACAAGTGAGGTCCCAAAGTGACAGATCCCAGCACAGATTAAGTTTTTTAACTCAAACTGAGATCATTTGGAATACAAGCAACCCCCAGTCAATACATGAGCAATCTTGGCCAGGAACTATTTCAGCACAGCAACAGGTAATTACAATCTCTGCTCTAAAACCCCAGCAGTTTAAATTGCCTCTGAAAAAAAAAGGAAAATAGAGAACTAAAGACTCTTCCATCATTAAGCAGAATGACCCCCAAGCGTGCCGAGATGGCACTTCCTAACAGCAACACTTTCCACGTTGCCTGGACGTAGTCCTGCTGGACCGTGAGTTACCCACCCCCTGGTGCACTCGCTCTAAATCGTACAAAAATGAATGCAAAGTTAAGCATCAACTCTGCCTAGCCAAAGCACCGGAGATTTCAATTAAGTTTGATTACCTCGTGGTAACTCAGGCCTAGCAGCACTAACACATGACACAGCTCTGTCGTTAACTGCAAGACAGCAAGGAGCAGCAGATCTAAAGCACAACCAGAGAGTGAGGAACTCCTCCAACACTCACTTATTTCATGCCCTGGCGTTGAGCTGTTTGCGTTTCCCTTCACCTTTCCATACAACACAAGAAGTAACTGCCCTCCGTAAGACAGCTACCGGGAACACTTACACGTCACCTGGAAAACGGAGAACAGCGCTGCAGCGTGAAGCATCGGTATCAGTTTCACGTAAGGAAGGTACAAACCCAACTGCATCCTCCTACAATTAGCAGCAAAGTTACCAGAAGAAAATTATTCCTGGTTCCTGAGCTCTTTTCTACCAGCAAACCCGTCTGACCTGTACCAAGCCCATCTGCTTCACCAGGTAACCACACTCAGGGCTGTGTCGCTGCTCACCCTGTTTTGGGCAAGCTCTCGAAGCTGAGTTTAACACGCCAGATAGGCCTGAAACACGCACTCGCAGCAGGGATTGCCAGAGCCTGCGTACTAACTACAGACCAGGTCAAGCAAAAAGAAATTCTTGCAGTTCCTGACTCCCACTGCTGTGTTATCAAGAGCTGAAATTCCCCCGCCTGAAGCAATCACCGGGGCCAGAGAGTTCCTTCTGAAATCCACCACCAAGGACAGTCCCAGCCCCCGCCCCCACAGCAGCTCTTCTCCAGACCAACGTTCAGAGGTCCTGAACAACGATTTTGACTTTCTGGGGGAAAGAAAAATAAACATTGATTATCCACAGCTCTAGAAGGATGGAAAGATGCTCAGAGTTACCTAGAAGCCAGCCCTGGTGTTTTAGACACCCAATCACTCGACTATTTTTAAATACATTCACCTACAGGTTGTTGGTACGATTAGACCGACCCCCCGGTACCCTCCGTACACAGGCTCTCCTCCCTCAGCTGCTTCCCAACGCCCACAGAGATCTCTTCTGTTCCTTTACACACTCCCCCCCTTCGCCCAAACTAGAGTAATTTAAAAACCAGAATGTTTTCAAAACACCCTAAATTCCTCAAACCACAGGAAAACATCGGAGGAGCACACAACCTCCAGAAAAAGCTTCGCAGTTAACGTGCCCACAGGAGAAAGAGCCAAGCGACAGCAGACTCCAAACCCCCGCTATGCAGTTCGCTAAATTAACAGCCAACGGGAAAAACACAAAGGCAAACACACCTTCAACTCCTCCAAACTTCAGGGGAGCGCGGGTTTAAGGTCAACAACGCAACTGCAGCCCTGCGGTACAGCCAGCTGCACGTTTGCGTGCACAGAGAAGGTGGAACAGCGTTTCTTAACCCTGCGCAATCACTTCCAGCATTTTCCAGGCGTCTTTTCACGTTACAATTTCAGCCCAATCCGAGATGCTTCTCCCCTTTCCACGTTTGAAGGCAAAGCAGGAAAAGTCGCCCCCGCTCCGCAACTTTTTGCTTACGCTGAAGTAGGATGGAAGCAGAAGGCATGGAGAGATCCGCATCTAACGCGTTCCACGCCCTCCGGTACCTACCCCTCGGCAGAGGAACACAACTGGCCTTATCCTCAGGTACGCATCAGCTTAAAAACCCAACACAAAATCCCATCTGGCATCAAAACGTGCGTCTGGAGACACTCGCTCATGCGAGCCCCGCTTCCATCAGAGGACCTTGAAGGGAAGAGGAGCCTGACACGGGCGGGACAGGCCGGCAAGGCGGGGGGGCAGGGGCAGGCAGCAGGGGGG